TAACCACTGCGCCACTGGGCCTTACATATCGACAGCTATAATAACTTAAACAGAAGAAAGTTTCACGGCTTTGTATTATATCTTACTACAGCTTTGTTCAGAAAGTATATATATATTTTCAGCCTTATTGATAAAAAGTACTTTGACAATTATTGAGCTATATGGAATGAAAAATCAAATTTTCAAAACTACTGAGTTCAAAACTTTTATTCAAATTTGAAAAGTAACTACAGATATTCGGATTCAGTTTATGACATATTCGATATGCTTGCTATCAATGGCTATGAGTGGCTCAGGAGAAGTGCAAAATTCTGTAAAACTCGCTGAAGTGTCGAGACATTAATGCTTCCGATTACCACCTAAATGGCTGTTTGAACTCAGCGATGGTTTCAGGGTTATTTGGATAAACATTATCTTTAATATTGCCGCAGAAAAATAGAGATCAGAAGAATATGGCGGCCAAGTTATTCTCGTTTCAGTGGCCTCTGTGTACCCCAAAGCCAGAACCACGGAGGTAAGTCCTTTCTTACCTCCATGGCCAGAACGCTCTCCAAAGTGCTCTTCCAGGACTTCACTGTCGGTCTGATGGGGTCGTGCTCCGTTCTGCATAAACCACATACTTCACTGAAATCTGAGTCACCTTGTAAATCTGAGTCACTCCATTTATTATTTTCACTTTTTTGGGAAGGAGGGGTAAGATTCTAGGTGGTGCATGGCCAACTGCCCGTACTGGCAGTACCTCGAGCCAGCACTGCTTGAGATAGTGCGACAGGAACAGAAGTCTGCATCCACCCAAGACTCCTCTCTACTAAAGCTTATCTCCTGCGAATATTCATCGGCTCAGGCAAACTCGATGAGGTTCTCAGAACGGGTGCCCGCGTGTAGACGTTATCCCGGCGTAATGATCCTGACTTTCGAATCTTTGTAAATTCGAACAGTTTATAATTTGTGTCGAAGGAAATGAAAGTTCAAAACAGTTCATAATCTGGGTGAGCACGTAAGAGTCCAACAGAAACACATCTGCGATGCAGGCCATGACGAAGGTAAGTGCGCGGATAAGTAAATGGCGTGGAAAAAGAAATGCCTTAAACTCACAGAATTTGAGTCTCTCATGTGTGAAGTTTACATAATAGGAGTAAAGGAATGGACATAAAGGCATATTGAAAAATAAAATATATACATTACATACAGGTCAATATATACAACAAAAGCAGCTACACCAGAAAAACAACCAGTATGAGATAGTGTATAGATATAATTAAGGTGGAACAACTAGGTAAATGAGTTATTTGAAAGACATTTACTGATCGAGGTATCTGAGGACCGCAAGCGGTCGTTTTCTATTGCTATCAATGTTATAATCATAGTTAAGCACTGGAATAGTGCTGTTGTTAACATTTGGTATATTTTTGTAGAATTTTTCTGCAAGATTAGCAGAATGAACAAATTGGTATCTCAAGCTCCTGGTGAATTGCCGAGTTTCTGATGAACCATCGACAATTCGCCGCTTGTCTGAGTAAGATATTCTGCAGTATTTGGTGTTTCTTTATATTAGTAAAACTAGCATATCCATAAAGAGAACAGGCATATGAGAGTATGGGACGCAAAAGGGTCTTGTAAATGAGTAATTTGTTGTCAATAGAGAACTGAGTTCCGACCATTTAAGGGGGTAAGTGTTCGTTTACAGACACAGAACTTGGCTATAATCTGTGTAATATGTGGGGTCCAGGTGAGTCGCCTATCCAAAATAATTCCAAGGTATCGGGCTTGTTTAGTCCACTGAATAGGGATGTCATACATGTGGACGCAGTCTTCGTTATCGATGCTACTCCTTTTGGTGAACCAGACGGCCTCAGATTTATCCACATTAATCTTTATTTTTCAGGCGTTGAGCCAGGACTCAAGTGTATGGATGTGTGTTTGGAGTGCTTGTATAACTGGGCCAGGAGATGCGTTTTTTGAGAGAATTGCCGTGTCATCGGCGTACAAAGCCAGGGTGGTGTGTGGTGATTGTGGGATATCGTTCGTGTAGGTATTATAGAAAATGAGCCCAAGGAGACTCCCTTGCGAGACGCCAGCCTTGATAGCCCGTGGGGTAGAGTGTGAATTGTTTACACGACGATAAAGTGTCTATCCTTAAGACAGGAGTAGGTGATGGCTGTGATGTACTCTGGGAAACCCAGAGTGATGATTCTGTGCATGAGGCCCTCGAGCCAAACACGGTCAAAGGCTTTACCTACATCGAGGAAGATGGCACCAGTAGTCTGATTGTCTTGGAGGCCTTGTGAGATCAGCTCAGTGACCCTGTAAAGCTGGTGAGCAGTAGACTGCTTTTACGAAACCCATGCTACTGTAGAATAATGATGTTTTTAATTCAGTGTATGCAAGGATTCTCTGCAAGAGGATGAATTCTGCTACCTTGCTTAGTGAAGATAAAGGGCTGATGGGTCTGTAAGACGATGGCTCCGATGGTTGCTTTCCAGGCTTTGAGACTGGGGTGATGATGGCGGTCTTCCATGGCTTAGGATAGTGACCCAGGCGTAGCATGGCATTGATGATTGCAACAAGTTTTAAAAGCATAAGAACCCCATGTTTTTGAGCATCTTGTTTGAAATTTTATCCAGTCCAGGACTCTTCTTGACTTGGAGTTTCTCGATGTAGCCGTAGACCTCTGATGGTTTGACAGGAGTAATATTGTTCGTGCGTGGCTTTGAGAGGAATTCTGTTAATGTTCTGGTAACCAGGTGTTCCGTTGGAGGGTGGGAGATGTTGTTTGTGCAGAATTGAGAAGCATAGTGATCAGCTGGTGACTCAGCTTTCTCAATTTCGGTGGTGTCAATTTGTTGTCGGCCGTTTAAAGGCGGAATGTTGGTGTAGCATCTCTTTAATTTTGCTGTCGCCTTCCAGACTGAACTTTTCTTAGCTGAGAGGGAATTGAGATAAGTGGCCCAGTCGCGTTGTGCGTGTTGACGTGTAAGAGCCCTGACCTGGTGGTTTAATCGATTTAATGCAGTCTTATCCGCTGGATATCTGTACCTTTGCCGTTCCTTGAGTGCAGCATTTCTTTTTTGAATGAGCGTTCTAAGTTGAGGGTCTGTGGCTTTCTTCCTGTGAGAAACAGGAGTGCTGTTGGCATCAAGAGCATTTATCAAATCAGTAATGAAGCTGGTAGCCAATGCATCTAACTCATCACCTGTGTGTGCTGTTGGAATGTGTAATGTAGTGTTGTTTAAGGCTTTGGCATATCCTGCCCAGTTAGTAATAAAGGCCTTTTTGTGTGGTGTGCTACAGATAGAGGTCCCCACTTTATTCATGACCGGGTTATGTTCGAAGGATAACTCGTTAAGAGTTTGGATAGATCTTGAGAAGCAGCCTTTGAGAAGGAAGAAGTCCAAAACATTGGCTGATCTATTATTGTAGCGTGTTGGGGTATCTGGGGCTGCAATGGTAATTCCTGCCTCATTGGCAAAACAGTAAATTACAGAACCTAGGTATGTGGAGTGGTTGCAGTTACATGCGCGATGGTGCGCGTTGAAGTCTCCGCCTATTATTGTTTTTCTGTTGAGTTGGAATAGCGCTTCAAAGTCACGCGCAATATTCGCTTGAGATCTTTTTTTGCTTGGGACATACGCAGAGAGGATGATGTGAGTGTAGTGACTGTAATAGCTAGGGCCTCAACGGCTAAAAGCTGTGGTAGTGTTGTAAGGTGGTGGGTGATGGAGCGTTTAATGAGGATGATGAGCCCGCCTCCAGGATGCCCGATACCTGTACGCTCTCAGTCATATCTATAGAGGCAGTAGTTTGCAATCCGGAACTAAATTGCGAACTAAGCTTGTGTTCTTGTAGGAGTAAAATATCAGGGCAATACTCATTTACAAAGATACGCAGTTCGTCGAGTCTATGGAGTAACCCGTTAGCGTTCCATGTTACAATTACAAGATCATTATTCATAAATTAAACATTATTAGCTAACCCGTGGATTACTTCAAGAATAATATGCAAAACTTGAATTTTGTCTAATATGTTGTCACATTTGCGAAGTTCTGGTAGCTTACTTTTGTAAATGTAAATAATTTGGCTTATTACATCCAAATATACTTTCAACCTCTTTCATGACTTTGATTAACTCAAATATATCATTTGTACTATTTTTTTGACAGAATTAGGATTAACATGAGGTAAATCTCGACTTTTAACATTTGCAGAAGTACTAGTTCTTTTATTAGCAGGAATATGAGCAGGATTACTTTGTACATTTTGCTTAATAGCGTTACCCGCATGCGAAGAGACATTGGTGGCAGAGGCATTGCTAGAGTTTGTTGAAGGTTTTATTGCTTGGACATAACTAATCCCTGGCTTGATAGTAGATGATTTAATAGACTTTTTATAGGTGGGGAACATAGGGCACCCCCTATAAGAAGCGACATGAGGCCCAAGGCAATTTACACAAACTGGGTTATCAATTCTGCCAGTTTTGTCACAATTGCCAGTTTTATGAAAACCGGCATATTTGACGCACCTGGGTGCAACATGGCAATTTTCTGACGAGTAGTGCCACTTCTGGCAATTGTGACATTGTGGCACCTGGTTCTTAGATACATATTTTTATATAATGACGTTAAAGTACATGATATTTTTAACTTTATAAATTTCATCAGTGTTCTTATCTGGAAATATCTGTGCCTGAAAAAGATGCATTAAGGCTTTAGTGCGATATCTTGTTAGTTGAACAACTTTGTTTACATTGTAATTTAACTCACGCAAGGCCTCTGTGATTGCGCTAATTTCAGCATCTATAGGTAGGCCTCTAATGAGGACTTTGGTTTTTCTATTCTTTGGGTTAACTACATAATGCTCTGTTTTTTTGCAGGAAGAATTCACTTAGAGTTCTATGATCATTAGAGGTGGAAGGTTCAACTTTTAGAAATTCGCCTGTTACACGGCCAAAGAACTTACATTCGGGTAGTTCGCCCGATAGGTCTTTAAGGAAATCATAATATTTAGTGCCCACTTTGGGCCTGACCATAATAGGGGGTGGTTTGATTATCAAACTGCGGATGTGGGTTTCCTGTTTGGGGATTTACATGACCAGCAGTAGTATCCATATTTGCATTATTATTTGGCATATTTACATTTGCAACATTCTTGTTAGGCAAATTTAAATTAGAGTCATTTACATTATTAACAACATTTTCTATGCAAGCATTTACATGATCATAACATACATTATTACTCTGTATATTATTATTAGAATTAGCATTTTGCACAGATAGATTTGCAAATTTATTTTGCAAGGGCAGTATGGCCTGGGGCTGAGTCAGCCTAACACCTTTGGCCGTTTTAGTTAGTTTTTGGAATCCATCATTATTCTTATCAGCATGTTCAGCTGAATTTTTTCGTTTATGCTTAGCAGTTTTGCTAACATTAGTATTAACATCACAAGAACTTTCATCAAGTACACACCTAGCAGTATCATATAAATTATAACATAGCCATGCGCACTTACCTTTAAGTTCAATAGAATATTCCTGGTACATTGCACATTTTCCGTAATTCCTGAATAATATTTGGTGATAAAAACACAGGTGAATCAAGTAAACCATTATCACGTTGCATAGCCGACTGTAGCTTTTCAAGACGTACACCATAGAATTTAAGAACGGCATCTGCATGAGCTTGATCTAACTTTTTAGATAAATGCACATTAATATTGACACGCTTTTTCATCACATTCATATCTGTAGGATTAAAGCAATCAACATTACGCAAAAATTTCAGCAATTCGTTTCGCGAAATCACATTATCCGTGTTGTTTGCAGGGGTACTGATATCCATTTTGTCGACACTTTCAATGATCTCACTCCACGAGGAAGGCTCGTCGGCCTCGCCATTTTGATCCGGAGTAGCACATAGCGGTGGAAAATTATCCTCCGAGGAAGAAATATTCACTTGACTATTCGCTGAAGACATTGCAATCCAGCCGAATACAATTCACTTACAAGCAGCAGAAAAGAACGCTCCTCAGAAAAGCAAAACGTTCGTCGGACATTTTGCACAGAAATGAAACTTTGATACGAACATGATTACGCAGAGTTTTTTCTGAGGCAGGTCATGGCCGCCGCACATGTTTTAAGACCAAGAGAAAATTCAAAACTCTTCTTATCATCTATAAAAATGATCATATGCCACAATTTACGCCAACAGAAAAGTAAAATAATGTTCTTGACATGTGTCAAACAGGAGACAAAATAAATCTGGCGTTTTTCAATGTGAACTAGTTCTGAAAATCATGGATACTATTTCCAAAGTTCACACATGGAGCATAAAAAGGATCGTTATTTCCTTTTCATCTTTATACTTTGGCAATTCCTTCATTCACTAATTGAATAACGCAATAGACGACAGAAACATAGTATAAGTGTTTTCAACATTCAAGTCTTCCGATTATTAGTCCATTACCTACTTTTTTTATTTCATAGGCCTAAATTTCGGATAACTTGAAGAATTACTGTTATTTTGATATTAACGGTTAGCTGGGTGGCGATTTTGTTGCACTATACTTCACTGGAGTGGCACTAAATATTACAAAGCATAATCACAGCTAGCAAAACTACAACAAATATTTCTTTTTGTACAAAAAGGAGACTATATCTATCATAAAGGCGTATTATTGCATTCTATGGGTTCGGGGTCTGTAGTAATTGATAACACTTAATGAACAATCAAAATACAGTTCGTTCCCCAGTAAGCACTATTACACAGGACAGTTTCAAGGACTCTCGTCGAAAACCTACGACAAGCAAGCTGAAACGATCAGGAATACAACTTTCAGGCTATAACGGTGAAGACAGCTTCACGGCAAAGCGCTAAACTACAGCTCCCGACTCGTCGATCGCTCTCAAGCTAATTTCTGAGCTCAAGACATTACTTCCTCTCCGTACAGGCAGAGTATATAGCTATAACCTACCTTTGAGAACATTCCCGAGCAAACCTCTAGAAATGCCCTCTAGAATGTTTTCACTCCATCTATGACCTATCGCCAAATTAAGAATATCGCGCTGAATCTGGCAAACTTGCCTTTCTTTGCCACTTTCTGGAAACCTTAAATCCGCTGTTGACTCACGCTGCTCAGCCCGCAAACTTCTTGACTTCTTTCTCCGCTTCGCTGGAGGATCTTCGTTTACAATCCACTTTGCAGTGAAGCTATCTCACCGCGCAGCCGCTCGGCATTTCGCAACAATATTGTTACGAATTTGCTATTTAAAAAGCTAATGTTAGTTCAATTATAAATTAAATGGTTTTATTTCCCGCGCAGTGCAGCGCGTGACGAATATTAAAAGAAAGCTAAGCCGGAAAAATTAAAAATACAAGAGCGCGTGCGTTAAATAAATAAATATCTTTTTTGATTTCGAGAGAAAGTACTGGAAAATTCTAGCGCGTGATTTTAAAATCTTATAAAAGGAGGAAAAACATCTCAGTTCGTAGTAGTTGCTGCTTAGTTTGTTGTTGTTTAAAAAAACTGCTCTTGTTGATTGTAGCGAATTCGCGGATTAGCTTTCTGTAGCTGTTTTGAATTACGTTCTATTGTACATTTAAGTAGTTAAAAGATAACTACTGTGAGATATTGTGATACTGCATGATAATTTGAGAAAATTTAAGCATTTCTGTTGTGATAATAATAAATTTTTGTTCATTTTTCATCGGACTTGTGCATTCATTTCATAACGAACCCGTACGCACGCAACAATTTTTGGTGTCAGGAGTGGGGTTTGAATGCCAATAACAAGAGGGATGGAAGAACAATTGAGACAGCTCATTACTGCTTTTGCTGCTTTCCAAGAAAAGATGGAAGATGGCCAAACATCTTTTAAAGAAGAAATTAAAAAGAAAATGGATGCTGGTCAAAGGTCCGTTAAAGAAGAAATGAAATTGGGCCAGGAATCCCTCAAAGGAGAAATGAAATTGGGCCAGGAATCCGTTAAGGAAGAGATGAAATCTCTTAAAAATGAGATGAAAGCAGGTCAGGACGAAATGAAAAGAGAAATTACCTGCGTAATAGAAAATAAATTTGAGGCTATGGAAGGCAGAATAGATGCGGTTGAAACTAAAGTTGGACATATAGAAGAGAGAGTTTCTGCCGTCGAACAACAAATTGATGATAGGGTTTCTGCTGCCGTCGCCAAAGAAGTTGACAGCCTAAAGAAGTGCATAGCGACGGTAGGAAACAATTCTGAAGGTTTCAAATTTTTATCGATGCCTGCTCGTTCCGTTCTGAAACTATCTACATATGATGGGAAGACCTCCTGGCAGGTGTATAGGACACAATTTTCTATCGTTGCGGATGCGAATGGGTGGGATTCCCAAGCTAAGGCCTGTCATCTCGCCGCTTCTCTGAGAGCAGACGCAGCGGATATCCTGCAGACGCTTCCCGAAAATCAAAGGCTATATTTCGAAGCTCTATCCGGCGCTTTGGAGCTGCGCTTCGGTGAGAAATGTTTAAAAGACTACAGCAGGCTCCAATTAAAATCTCGTCAACAGAAGCTCACCGAAACGCTTCAGGAGCTCGCCACGGATGTTGAGAGGCTGTCACATCACGCCTTTTCAGAGTGCCCGACAGAAACAAGGGAAATCCTGTCCCTGCAATATTTCATCGATGGCATCCGGACCGGGATCCTGAAATACAGAAAGCACTGCGAATGGCGGATGTTAAAGATTCTGAAAAAAGCGCTTTAGTGTATGGCATGAAACTTGAGGCAGCCCAGCACAGCCACCCGTCGAGACCGCCACCCAAGTCAGAACCGTCTCAAGTGCAAGGAGCCTAGGGGATCAAACGGTCTACTGCTCGTCTAGACGATTTAAACTAGTTATGTCAACTGAACGCCTTGAGACAGAATATTGAAGTGACTAGAAACCGAACCGTAAAGTGCTGGAACTGCGAGTGCTGAAAGGACCACATACGAACGAAACTGCAGAACACCCCAGGGTACGGATGTTAAAACCGCTCCTAACAAACAAGGCAGGGAAACTAATTAGTGGCCATCTCGCGGGGCGGAGGTTGCCAGTTAATGAAAAGCCCCATTTTAAAGCGCTTCAGATATTCTGCAGTGAGTAGGCGGCAGTAATGGACTTTTCATAATAGGACATATCGTAAGAGTTCCCTGCAATATGACGATAGATACAGGAGCCAACGTTACCATCATCCGAAAAGATTTGGCTGAAAAACTGGGAAGCAAACTTATCTGGACGCCGCCCTGCGTTAACCTACAGACTGTGTTCGGTGAGAAGATCGACATTGATGGAAAAGTAAATGTTAACATCACGTTTGGAAGTGCCGCTTACCATCACACGGCATATGTAGCAGAGATCACTGATTCTTGCATACTCGGATTGGACTTTCTAAGGAAATACAATTTTTCCTTGGACTTTAAAAATAACGAATTGCATTCTACATCTGAGGACATAGCGTTATTTGGAGTCAATGATGAAGTTAAATCTGTCCATAAAATCATAGCACAAGACAATATCACAATACCGGCAAGAACAGAAATTTTACTTCCTGGATCCATAGCCGAAAACAGAAATTTCCGCTACGGCATCATAGAATATCCCAATAACTGTAATAGCCCAAAAGGAGTACTAGTAGCCTCAACACTCGTCGACCTATCCAGAACGGTTATCCCGGTGAGAGTCGCCAATGTAACTGAGAAGGGGAGAATTATTAAGAAAGGTGAAGTGGTTTGCAGCATGTACTCCAGTAACCACCGTTGAAAGAAAGAGTAACATCCAAGAATCCGTGTCCTCAGAGAGAATTACATCGGAGTTATTGCAGAATGCACAATTAAACGATAAAGAGAAAAATGCTGCCGATCGCGTTATTAAAGATCTTCAAGTTGTTTTTTCCCGCTCGTCTTCTGACGTGGGTCGAACTAGTTTGACACAACATAGAATAGATACCGGCGATCATCCCCCGATCAAGCAACATCCAAGGCGTCTGCCGTTTGCTAAACAGGAAGAGGTGCGAAGACTGTTAAAAGATATGGAAGAAGGCGATGTCATCGAGCCTTCAACAAGTCCATCCATGGGCATCTCCCATCGTTCTCGTCAGAAAGAAAGACGGCTCAACAAGATTTTGCGTTGACTATCGCCGATTGAATGAGGTTACGAAGAAAGACAGTTACCCTCTTCCTAGAATTGACGACATTCTAGACACTCTTTCTGGAAGCAAATGGTTCTCAACGCTTGATTTAAAGAGTGGGTATTGGCAGGTAGAAATATACCCTCATGACCGAGAAAAGACGGCATTTACTACGGGACAAGGGCTTTGGCAATTCAAGTGATGCCGTTTGGACTGTGTAATGCGCCGGCAACATTCGAACGCCTCATGGAGACTGTTTTGAAAGGACTTTCCTATGAAGCCTGTCTGATATACCTGGACGATATCATCATCGTCGGAAAGAGTTTTGAAGAGCATCTAGAAAATCTTTAGAAAAGGTGCTTCAGAAACTGAAAGAAGCCAATCTAAAGTTGAGTCCCGCTAAATGCAAATTGTTCCGAAAGGAAGACTGACTTACCTGGGACATGTCATCTCTGCAGAAGGTGTGGCGCACGGATCCTGAAAAAGGTATCAGCGGTTAAATCCTGGAAACGTCCCGAAAATGTCCATCAGCTGAGAAGCTTCCTAGGGCTTTGCACCTACTATAGGAGATTCGTGAAGGACTTTTCTTCCATCGCAAGACCCCTTCACAAGCTGACAGATGACAGAGAGCAACCCAAACGTTCTTGTGGACAAAAGAATGCGACGATGCATTTAACAACTTAAAGGAGGCTTTAACATCTGCTCCAATCCTGACGTATCCTCAGCACGACCGACCATTTATTCTCGACACCGACGCGAGCAATGAAAGTGTCGGTGCTGTTTTGTCCCAGGAAATAGACGGCCAAGAACGTGTAGTGGCATACTGGAGCAAGTGCCTGTCTAAACCGGAGAGGAATTATTGTGTCACCAGGAAAGTGTTGCTCGCCATAGTCAAAGCTGTAGAACAGTTCCATCACTATCTATACGTCAGAAAATTCCTGCTCTGCACCGATCATGCATCATTGACCTGGATTTTAAATTTCAAGAATCCTGAGGGTCAAATAGTCAGGTGGATAGAGAGACTCCAAGAATATGACATCACTATCCGTCATCGTAAGGGATCATCACACGTAAACGCCGACGCCCTGTCTAGAAGACCTTGCCAAGAAAGCTGCCGATATTGTTCCAGGGTGGAAGCGAAATACGAGCTGCTGACTCCGGTCGCAAGACAAATTACAACATCAATATCGGCTGATCGAGAACCGTGGAATGATGATGAAGTCAGAAAACACCAGCTGGAAGACCGCGACATTAAACCCATAATTGATTTAATGGAGTCATCAACCAGAAAACCTACCTGGCAGGACATTTCTATCTGTAGTCCTACAACCAAACAGTATTGGGCACTCTGGGATTCACTTCACATTCGAAACGGCGTCTTATACCGGAAATTCGAATCGGATGATGGGAAGACGTTCCGATGGCAGCTGATACTTCCAATATCCCACATTCCTGATGTCCTTAAAGAACTACATAACAGCCCTACGGGAGGTCACTTTGGAATAATGAAGACCTTACAGAGAGTTCGTGAGCGCTTTTACTGGAATAATGCAAAGGATGACGTGCAAAAGTGGTGCCGATCTTGCGATGCCTGTGCAGGTCGGAAAGGACCTAAGAGACGCAGCCGAGGCAAGCTGCAACGTTACAACGTAGGGGCGCCTTTTGAACGAATCGCCTTTGACATCCTGGGACCTCTGCCGCGAACTGCTGATGGCAACAAATACATACTCGTTGTCGTTGATTACTTCACCAAGTGGCCTGAAGCTTATCCTATTCCTGATCAAGAGGCTGTCACAGTAGCTGAGGTAATGATACAGCACTGGATTTCCAGGCTCGGAGTGCCTCTTCAGTTACATTCCGATCAGGGAAGGAATTTTTACCTCGGTAGTATCATAGAACTATGCAAAACTACTCGGCATTGACAAGGCCCAAACGACGCCATTACATCCCCAGTCGGACGGCATGGTAGAGAGGTAGAGAGGTTCAATCGAACCATCCTTAATAACCTCTCATTAGTGGTTTCCAGAAACCAGCAGGACTGGGACAAGAAATTACCACTCTTTTTACTGGCTTACCGCAGTTGCTGTCCACGAGACTACCGGCTATTCTCCATCACAGATGATCTCTTCGGTCGTGACCTTCGTCTGCCTTGTGATCTATTGTTTGGCCGCCCTCCGGATGCTCCTTCATCGTCTGAGAAATATATTCAAGATCTCCAGGCCCGGTTTGAAGTGATCCACAGCTTTGCACGAGAGCGAGTCAACTTGGCGACGGAGAAGATGAAGACCCGCTACGACACAAGAGCTACTGAACATCAGTTCCACGAAGGAGACAAGGTGTGGTTGTGGAATCCGACTCGACGGAAAGGACTTTGTCCGAAATTACAGTCACCTTGGGATGGCCCGTATACAGTCCTAAAAAGGCTGAATGACGTCGTGGTTCGGATTCGTAAGTCTTCGAACTCTAAACCTAAAGTCGTTCATTACGACAGGTTAGCTCATTACTATGGCCATAGTACGTAATGTAAATAATTGTAAATAGTATAAGACCATGGTCCATTTTGTTTTTAAATGTGTATTTGATTTGATTTGTATTTAGTATTTGATTTGCATTTAGTGTTTGATTTGTATTTGATAGCATTTTATTTGTTTTATTTATTGCATTTATTGTTCATGTTGTTTAATATTGTAATGTAATGCTTATTAATGCATTTATGCCACAGTTGTAAGTTTTAGTTTAGCTTCTGTCCAGGGATTGTACTGCCCGGGACGTGCAGTCCTTGGGAAGGGGGCAGTGTTACGAATTTGCTATTTAAAAAGCTAATGTTAGTTCAATTATAAATTAAATGGTTTTATTTCTCGCGCAGTGCAGCGCGTGACGAATATTAAAAGAAAGCTAAGCCGGAAAAATTAAAAATACAAAGAGCGCGTGCGTTAAATAAATAAATATCTCTTTTTGATTTCGAGAAAGTACTGGAAAATTCTAGCGCGTGATTTTTAAAATCTTATAAAAGGAGGAGGAAAACATCTCAGTTTGTAGTAGTTGCTGCTTAGTTTGTTGTTGTTTAGAAAACTGCTCTTGTTGATTGTAGCGAATTCGCGGATTAGCTTTCTTTAGCTGTTTTGAATTACGTTCTATTGTACATTTAAGTAGTTAAAAGATAACTACTGTGAGATATTGTGATACTGCATGATAATCTGAGAAAATTTAAGCATTTCTGTTGTGATAATAATAAATTTTTGTTCATTTTTCATCGGACTTGTGCATTCATTTCATAACGAACCCGTACGCACGCAACAATATTATTTTATAAGCAAACAAACAAAAAAAAAAAAAAAAAAAAAAAAAATTGCTTTTTTACTATGATGCGATAATGTAAACACCCCTTACCACGATTTCTTAATTTTACCAGAGCATATTACGCATTCATTGTTTGTTCTCTTTTGTCTTCATCTTCAAAAAATAATTTTTCTGTACCTTTAGTTGCGTTCGGGAAAATCATAACACGCAAATGGTCGTCATCCATTAGGGCCTAATTATCACTTCAAACCTCAAATTCCGGGCTTATCGCCGCAAGTGAAGATCAGAATTATACTACAACTCCACATAATCCCGATTTTTGTTCATGAAAGCATACTTAATCTTTATAAGGACTTTTGAGATACTTTTTCAATTTCCAGCAATATTTATCAACTATTGTTCTAGAAACAAAGGCCTATTTGAACGGATTTTCTGCTAACACTGAACAAAACATTGTTTCAGTGGATTTCCCTAAATTTTTGGTCAGCCTCTGAAGCTTGTAGTCTCTGACTACAGCCTCTGACTCTCGTAGTACATGCAAGTTACTTTTGACATTTGTAATGGTTCCGTATCGAAATGAATTTCCTTTGGTGAATTTAAAATAAATTTGAACTTCTTGCACGCGTTTCGAATTCTGCTGCATAGACAAGATTTAAGAAATGAAATATTTACCCATCAAAACATTTAAAATACGCGCGGAATTTTAAGCTCGAGAATGTTTAAAACTGCATGAGAGCTTCTTATATCAGTTTACTTAAAGCAAAATATGTCAGTCTCCTATTCCAAAAAAATCAAGCTTTCATTTCTGGTTACACATTTAGAAACTGTTTAATTCTGCTCAGTGTTCTGCAAGGAACAGGTGCCGAAATAAACTGCAGTTCGATGTGCGACGAGATCTACGGACCTATACTAACCACTAAATTAGTACCTCCGACTATGATCCAGGTAAGAACATTAAATTTCGGTTAAAAATATTTGAGATATAATATTTCAAAACATCGGTAAATTTCACAAACTATTTTTGTGAAAATTCTGAGTAGCAAACAACTTCTAGAAAGATGTCCAATCGTAAACTTAAAAGTGTTCCCTAAATTTTTGAACCAAATCATACAAGTTGCTTCCTAAACCTCATTATAAAATTCACTAATTATCTGAAGTACAGATGAGATTTAACACTGTGAGAAGTGTTATTCAATAGTATAGGATTCGCACATACTGTGAAAGTGTTTAATATGCGGTAAAAGTGTATTTGTAAGACTTAAAGATTTTATGAACAGAATTTATGTCGATGCTCTAACAGACGAGTAGGTGTGTGCGTTATGAACCTCCCCTTTCCCTGTTTTATGCATTCAACGGGGGGCGGAGTTACTGCCTATCATCATATATGATACAAAATGTTTAAAAATAATCTAAATTAGTTACTGCCTATCATATATGATACAAAATGTTTAAAAATAATCTAAATAAATTGTTATAATAGTTTAAGTATAATTAAAAATTGTACTCTTCCTTGATTAAAACATTATTTTAAAAGGAAAAATGCAAGGCTCTAATGAGCTCCTAAGTATGTAGACGTTTGTTTAAATTAAAATACTCGTTATTCATTTATAATGATATATTGCTGCACAGGAATATTCGCATATACATTAAACCTTAATAAATATATATATATAAAATCAAAAGTAAAGAAAAAAATTACAGTTTAAATTCATTTAAAATATCCCATTTAGTTTTACAAATTCTTATTGAAAATCCAGCTTTTGATAATCTTACTAAGAAGAATCTAAGGATATTTTCCCCCTAGCGAAAACATCTCAATAAGGCTTTAATAATAAGTCACAATCCAGCTTCTGATAATCTTACTAAGGAGAATCTAAGGGTATTTTCCCACTAGCGAAAATATCTCAACAAGGCTTTAATAATAAGTTACAATACATAGCTGATTATCAGTCAAACAGTAAAGTTACCAAATGTAATTCTGAAAATTCATTTCTAAACACTGATTAACAGACAGACTAATAGTCATAGTATTTTGTCATATTTTTGAAGTGGTGTTACGAATGAGAAAGAGCCAATCTCATTTTTAAAAAAATAAAAAATATCAATAATTGAAATAATTTTTTATCAAAAATTTACCGAAGTTTATAATAAAGAAAGCAATATGCGTAATTGCTAACATATATTCATCATCTTCAAAAGTTTATATACTATCCGACCATGGAACGTACGACTTTTGTTAGCACTCTATCAGGACTACTATTTCTTCTAACTGCTTTTGCAAACATACTGGAGTCCTGAGTAGAACAGGGAGTTTACTTAAAACTATGTTCGTGCAAGTGGGGGTAGAAGACACGGCACAAATGGGAAGAGTTTAATCACTCTTTATTCTTCACACTTTTACAGCTGTTCCCGGACTTCGGGATACAAAGACCAGTACTTATGGTCTGAAACGTAAAAATAAGAACTACAAACTAATTAAATTAAATAAGAACTAAATTCAGATATTTTACAGAGACTAGTAACATGAAGACTGGTCTTTTAAACTTTACATATATAGTGAGCACAATACGTCTTAAAGTGTCAAAGAGAACTAAGTTCTGGTCTCAAAGGCAGACAAGAACTAACTGAAAAGCACGCACGAGGTAAAGTAGAAGGAAGTATCTTTCTCTTTTTTGGCTAAAAGCCACAAATTAAATACTTAACATTTTGCAAGCTCAATTTGCATAACTAAATTTGTTCGCGTTTATTCTGGCCGGAAATGGAAAATAAGCTAGGATAGTAAAGTTTTAAAATAAAATAAATGTTAGTAAAACTTAAAATCCTTTCAACTCATCGTAAAATAAAGAGAAATGTAAAAGCATAAAGAGAATTTCTAGTAAAAAAATTTATTAGACTTTGCATCTCAAGTAAATGATGAAAATGAAGTTGTTACTTTTTATTCCCATTTGCAATGCATCTTATACAAGCAATTTCTTAAGCTTCGTATTTGTAATTTAAGGGGTTTTATAGGTGCGATTTCGCAAACTGTTCGTCGGGGGCATTGATTCCAGCATCACCGAAAGTGACTTGATCAATTACTTCGAAAAGTTTGGTACAGTGACAGGCTGTACGATTCACCGCGACAGAGACACTGGGAGATCTCGGGGCTTCGGATTCATCACCTTTCAGGAGCCGGCATCAGTGGATGCTGTCCAGCTCAGTCGACCCCACATTATCAATGGATGCGAGGTAAGCTCACTCAGATGGTTTCACTACAATTTTAACATTGTCCACGACTCTGGAATTTTTTCGTGGCAAAATGGAATTTTTGATTAGTTAAATTGGTACTTGTCTTCTATAGAGGCCTTGGCGAGAAAATGTTTTAGGTTTCGACATTGACGAGAAACAAGAGGTTATTGATCTGTGCATGTGCGAGAAGCGAAAGTTTACGATCTCCGCACGTGCGAAAAATAAACGGCTAACGATCTAACTTCACTTATTTCAACGTAGCGGATTTTCATCGTAAAATATTCATTATGCTTACTCTTTTCAATCTTCCATCAACAGAAAAAGAAGCTGTGGTTGATGTTTGATGCATTATTAGAAGCAGTTGTTGAAAAGCGCCCAGAAGGAGTGAGTCTCTAAGGGATTAATTTTCGCTATGTTTATGCATGCTTGTTTTAGTAAACCGCTAATCAAGCTGTATTAAATAAAATAATAAACATAACTTTCCGCCAAGTAAATTGTTTACACAACTTTATTAAATACAATAATTAAATCAGTTGATTTGAATTATGTTATTTTAAATAAACTGCTGACAAAATTGTATTAAATACTATAATAAATAAATAATTATATTAAATTTCTTCTACGTGTATATATTAAATACTTTGTGTTGCATAGATATTGAATTAGTTGCCAATTTATCGTTTACCATAGTCAGTTTCGTTTTTGTAGATGTGAGTGACAGGTGGCAAAAACCACAGTTCCTTAACCCGAATAGCGCCAACGTCGTTTTCCCTCGCCAAGGCCGCTACAGAAGTCTAAGTACCGTTAATTTTATTGTATCTATATTCGTCTGCTTTAATTTAGTGATTATGTTTTTCGTATTATTTATTGCAAAGCGAAAAACAGTTACCGTTAATTGATACAAAAATACTTTTATAAGCTCAAATGTGCCTGAAAAAATAACTATTAAACCATGCGAAGGAAGTCAAAATTTAAATTAGTGGTGAAAGAAGAACAGTACGAAAATAAGCAGCACAAATAAACTTTTCTTACATTATATAATGTGTTTTATCTACATTATATAGTGTGTTACACTCCAGAGAAAGCATGAATATAAGTATATATTGCCTTTGTGGCATGGGGCCACTTAAAACACTTTCAAGCCTAAAGTCATCTCGAGAGTTTATGGTAGGGAAAGTGGAAGTATGAAACCCTCAGATTCGGTCTTCCGGGCGGTTTCAGGAAAACTGGAATGGAGCTAGGCAGAACTCGGCACTGTCAACTGGAAAACTGGGAAAACATATGTTAAAATAATATTTAAAGTATATATATTAGTGCTGGTACTATTCGGTTTTGAGGAGCGTAAAAAATCGCCAAAGTATTGTTGATGACAGTGCTGCCAAAAATAATTGCGGCAACCCTAACGCGAGAAAGGAAGTATAATAGTAAATAACTATTTAAGACTGTACGTTTTTATTATTATAATTTATATGCATTGCTCTACATTGAAAATGCAACACCAAGAAGGAGTGGTCAGAAATTTATGCAAATTTTAGAGTAGACGCATATCACTGAGTTATGCGAATGATATGAAATGCGCAGCACATGAAGTAAGATAGTATAAGGGAAGGAACGTGCAGAATGGGCAATATTCGCGTCGTTATTTCTGCCAGACAAAAAATTATCGAAGAAAGTTGGTTTTTGTCCCGGGGATACGTATAATAGGAGAGAATGCCAGGCCGCCGTCAACGAAGGCACTTGCAGATAGACGATTTTACGAGGGGTATGGTGATATGATATGAGAGACGCAGCCCGACCCTCCTGGTAGACTTTACGTCGCCCTATGGCTTTTTTGCGGGCTGCGCCAACGAGGAGTATGGTGATCGGATTGAGAAGGGCAGGTTGGTCTTCACGTCAAATCGCAGCTGATACCCACATGGATGCGAGCACGGTGCATCGGCTATGGCGAACATGGTTGGAACAAGGAAATGTGGGAAGAAGGAGGGGTGCAGGTGCAGCCAGAGTGATGTCAGCACGAGTGGACCGACGCATCCGCCGACAAGCTGTGGCCGTCCCGCAAGTCACTTGTATCGCGATTTTGCAGCATGTGTAAGATACCCTGGATGTTCCCGTGTCGACCAGAACCATTTCCCGTCGATGGGTTGAACGTGGTCTTCACTCACAGCGTCTGTTAAGAAGATTGCCATTGACCCCACAGCATAGACGCCAACATTTAGAATGGTGCGGAATGGAGCGAGGTAGATGACAGAAGGGCGAAACATCGTGTTCTCAGATAAGTCACGCTTCTGTTTATTCAGTGGCAGTCGCCGCATACGTGTGTGGCTTCGACCTGAAGACAGATCTAATCCAGCAGTAGCTGTGGAACGCCCCACGACAACGTGGCATAATAGTTTTGGGTGCTATTGCCTACGATTCCAGGTCACCTCTAGTTCGTACTCAGTGCACTATGACGTCCCAACGATACTTGGACAATGTACTGCAGCCGGTAGCCATCCCCTACCTTCAGGGGCTACCTAATGCAATTTTTCAGCAGGATAACGCCCGAACACACAGTGCTCGCATCTAACATGCTCTGCAAGGTGTACAGATGCTTTCCTGGCCACCGTACTCTCGTGACCTGTCACCAATCGAACATGTGTGGGATGTGATTGGACGCCGTTTGCAGACTCTGCCCCTGCCTCGTTCAGAAGACGAACTGTGGCATATGGTTGAAAGGGAATGGAGAGCCATCCCTCATAATACCATCCGCATTCTTATTGACTCTATGCCTAGACGTGTTTCTTCGTGCATCGCTGTCTGCTGTGGTCCAACATCCTACTGAGCCGATGCCGTTCTCGCTCTGTATTCTGACTAATCATTTTGAAATAAAGATCACTTATTGCTACTTGCTGTCTCTGTCTTTTTTCCAAATTTTATCACTTTCTGACCACTCCTTCTTGGGGTTGCATTTTCAGTGTCGAGCAGTGTAAAAAAAGGCTAAACATGACTGAATGGAAGCATAAGAGTAAATAACTATTTCAGATCATTATTATAATTTATATAAAAATTGCTATACATACTGAATGGATGCCTGCATCGCTATTTCGCTACCGAGTTATCGCTAAAGCACAGTTTCATCTCGTTGGTTGTTCAAACACAATTTTCTATAATGAATGATGCCTTTTCTTTGAAACAATTCTCTGTAAAGTGCAGAATCGCCCACTTATTTGTTTGCCGCTTTTTACAAGGGAAAAACAAATGGATTTTTGTCAATTTTCTTTTACTTTTTAAGTGAAAATAGGTCGATGTGTACATAGATAAAGTCAAGGGTGTGCGCAGTGCCGTTTTGTGCAATTCTGGGATTTTATTTTTTTAATAAAAATAGGTCAATGTGTACATGGATACCGAGTATGTGCAATTCTTAAAAACGCGTCAAGCAATGGATGATTCTGCATTTTACTCACAATTCCATTGCACACTTTTCGTCATGGGCAATTCCCTATAGGATATCAAAAAAGGATTTAAAATGAAAAAAGGATTTAAGAATTAAACTAGTATTTCAATGGCGTCTTAAGAAATATAGAACTACAGTCAAAAGTCATTAATCCGGACTCGTCGGGACTTCGGCGATTCCGGATTATCGATTTTTCCGGATTATAGATCATCAGTTTAAATCGCGTAAGATGGCATGCAGAAATTCTAAAATTAAAAATATGAAACCGTAATTTATGAAATAAAGAACAATTATGATCTAAAGGGTGTCAAAATTCACAAAAAAAATGCTTAATATTTATTTGTTTACTTTATTAAACATTTCTTTCAATGTAAGTTGTTTAAGTTGCTTCATTTTATGTGATAATACTTTCTCTTTAATTCTATAAACAGACATAATTTCTTGTTCAGTTACAAAGTTCCGCTGTTCAAGTCCCGTTAATTGCTGTGCCGAGAATACCGACTAACTTGTCAATCGAAATTATTTCGTTTTCACTAACCTCTCTGTCACATTCTTCATGTCTTTATCCATTTTTGGAGCAATTCCACTTTTTGTTTGTTGGACATCGAAACATACTTTCGTTTTGTAGATCCTTTGGAAGTTCCAGCATCGGAAATTCTATTTGACATAATCGAAATTTCAAGTTTACTTTTATAAAATTGCTCTTACAGTCTGCAAAAAATAATAAGCGGGATCCAATTTGAAGATTAAGGAACAACGCAATCATTAACATTAAATGAAATAGATAATTAGATAATTTTAGCTTACACCGTCCGTTATACATTAAACGCGCAGGCGAAAACGTATTCTGCACTTGCGCACACGCATGTGCGCAGTAGTCAAGGTCTTACGCGCACGCGTAAAATGCCTGTGCGCATGTGCCAACGCGGCGCAACGCGGTAGAAAGTTTTTAGCTTTGAGGTCCGGATTATGGGTGTTCGAATTAACGACTTTTGACTGTATAAAATTTACGCAATCTGAAATCAGCGCGTACGCTAGATTTGGCGCGCTGTTAAATGGGCGCGTTTGCTAGATTTGTCGCTTTTGCGCATGCATTTTCGCTGCAATTGTTTTACGGTCCTCGAAACGGAATGCTTTATATAAAGACAATTAAAGGAACGTGTATTTTTTATTAAAAGGTTTTGATCAATATATTATTGGTATTTTAGATAAAGCCAATTATTGTATTTTTTATTAAAATGTTTTATTTTAACTTGTGCTGCAGGTGCCACCTGCCCTCGCGTTATATTTAACTATTGGAAATTTGAAACGAACTACCAGTGTCCAGCGGTTTCTCGCTTGTTCCCCCTGCTTTATTCCCGTGCGCATCCAGAAGATAATGCATACACGTTACACATGCGTAAAATCACGAAAACACCCATGCAACCAGTCCGCTCACCGGGATTCGAAAGTTGGACCGAACTACCAGTGTTCAGCGGATTTGCGCGGTCTGCGCCCGCTTTATTCAGTTGTGCATCCAGAAGATACTGTTTTCGCGATACACATGCGGAAAATCACTGAAACACACATAGAGTCAGCCTGTTGGCCGGGATTCAAAGTTGGACCGAACTACCAGCGCTCAACGGTTTTGACCGGGTTACGCCCGCTTTATTCACGTATTCATCCAGAAGATACTCCGTACACGATACACATGCGTAAAATCACGAAAACACCCATGCAGCCAACCAGCTAGCCGGGATTCGTAATTTGGACCGAACTACCAGCGTTCAACGGTTTTTCGCGGGATGCACAGAGCTTCTGATTAATTTTCGAAAAATGTATTTTTATATTTTTTAGTTAATAAACACTAGTCAACTAGTGTAAGTGTTTTATTATTTTCATCTCTTGGAACCCCAGAGATTCGCGAAACACCACTGATGTAGACTAATGCGTATTTTTCTCTGTTATAGTTCTTTGTAGGCAATTTTCATTTTTGATCGTTCATCTTTTTATTATTTTCTACTCCCTGTCTCATTAATTTTTCAAAACTGCCAGGAATCTAAATAATCTTTTACAATTAAAGTAGCGCATATTTTCACTCATTGTGAAGGGGCGGGACTCTCGCTCGGCTATATTTTTCACTTAACTTTACTCGTAAAAGTGAAAGAAGATATTGTTACGAACATACAATGCTTGATAGAGAAAATATCACACCATAAAAGAACTAGTAAGAGATTAAATTAAAAGGAGAGAGATTAAATTTTATATACAGGTAAACAAATACTTAAAAAGTGATTTAATTTTTAACGATGGACAAAGATAAGATTCACTATATATTTAATAGTGAATCGATAACATGTCCAGCCCCATTTCGAGTCATACATTCTTAAACACATCGTTGCATAAAACCCATGAATGTTCGAATTATGTCCTGTACTACTGCCCCTGTTTTGTTGGTGTGAGACATAGTTCACCTTCGTTTTGTGGAGAAAGGAAGTATTCAACCAACGTCTGATTATGACCTTCAAATGCTTTACTGGAGAGAGATCGAAGGATCGGACTGATTAAAGAAGAAATTACTTATCTTGTTATTGCATTCAGGATGAATTGAGCCAGAACCGAAGGAGAACTATTATCCGGCCAGTGTAGTTTCCACATTTCCTAAATTCTGTCATGCAGTACGTTTCTAAATTCTAAAAACGTTTCCGGCCGGTTCCGCCTTACTAGTGTCACTAGGCCGGAGCTGAGTAATGTGCATTATCTGGTTGAAAAATGGCGTTTTAGAATGCAAAGAAGATGGGGTTGCAGCATGTCACTAAGCGGCGTCTCGTTAAAACGTCTATAATTTGCACTAGACGTGAATGGCTTTTATCATTAATGGTACTGCAAACGATTATTTGCAGTCATTATTTGTGAGAGTAAGAAGTGAGAATCGTTTCTGAAGACTACATTGTTCAATTGGCATTCCACATAATCTTTTTGAAACATTTCTGCAAATGTTGACGACGATTTCTTAGTGTTAATATAACACCTCCATAACATACTTCTAGACACTGAGCCTGTACTAGCCTAGCTTTGCAAAATTGCCCGCTTCGTTATTGGAACAATGTATCTTGTAGCACGTTGCAAAATATCTCCAGTTGTAAACCGTGAGTCAAATACGGGTTACGTCGTATGCGACGATCAGTGTGTCGTCTTCTGATGTCCATCTTCTAGTTCCGAACCTTCTTCGAGGATGCACGTTTCCTTCCTGGGTTCACTGTTGCCAAATCCGACCAATGATTGTAGCATCAACCTTCGATTCCTCCGCGATGCAGTACAAAGACTAATTAGTGGTACGCAAGCGGAATCTGAATCCCCTTGTGAAACTCGTCCATTTGCTGATATTGAGTATGACGATATCGTATTGCTTCTTCGTTTACGCAAGTACGAAACAGCAAAATCTCGGGTATTATAGTCGTGATGACATAGAAACTGTTGACTTTCCGCCTTATCTGGCTATTTATATCCTGCATGAAAATCGGTTGATTAGAATATCAACCGATTTTCATGCAGGATATAAATAGCCAGATAAGGCGATTAACATTTGAAATGCAATCATTAGCATAGCTTTCAGATGTGCAGCCCCACAAAACTTTGCATGGTAACGCGTTTGCTCCTTCATGATCTGATTTTCTCCATCAGGCAATGTAGTTTAATATGTTTAACAGCCTGTCATAAAAGCACATATATAACGCCTCTTACTTGCAGTCATAAAATATGCACAAAAATTACCATTACGTATACAAAACACAGTTGAAGAAAATAATATAATTAGAGAAATTGCCGTATTAGGAAATTCTGGAGGGAGAGAATCAGCTATGATTAATAACTCTGGGAACTGAAAAAAATAAGATTTGATTTTGCAGATAATCTCGCCAAAGCGAAAGATGGGAGATTCTTATTTGATATCAAATTAGACTAACAACCGAAGATAATTTGCTGTACAAGTAGTCAAATAATGGCGCGAAAAATTACCCAATACGATTAAATAATAAAATTAAGGGACTCAGCTAATTAACTCCATTTTCATTAGGTAACACTGAAACGAGCCGTGCCAAGAGAATTTTTCCAAGAATTTGATGGGCTCTTGACAGTCAATAGAATCTTTGTAGGAGGTCTTCGATCAGAAATACAGGAGTCGGATATTAGAGAGTATTTCAGCAATTTCGGAAAAATTCGGAAGGTGGACATCATGATGGACAGAAATACGAACACAAAGCGAGGTTTTGCTTTCGTCGAATTCGATGACTACGATCCAGTTGACAAAGCAGTTCTGCAAGGCAATCATGTTATCCTTGGACAAGATGTAACCGTCAGAAAAGGTAAAATAAATTTTCTTGGAGGCAGAAAGATAAACATATTTTTCATTTTCGAAATAAATGCATTTTTAAAGAAATTTATCAAATTAGTATTTTAGTAATATTAATAAAATTATAACATCTATATATCACAAAAGAAATGGCTTTTCTGTTCTTTATACATTGGTTATAAAGAGAAAAATTCATTCATTTAATTGTGTAGATTATCCAAATATCAAGTTCATATTTAACAACATTACTATATCAGGGTCAATGTTCCTTCTAACCTTCTTCGGGAACATACAAGGACCTGACTCGGAACAGAGAGCTTACTAAAGCTATGTTCACTAATTGTGGTAAGTAGACAGGATACAGACGAAGGGTATACAAAAACCCTTTATTTTTCTCTATATACAATAACTTCCGTACTTCGGAATACACTGACCCGCTGCTTGGGGTCTAACGTAAAAGTATAAAAATAAAACTAAACTCTAATTTAACTTTAGAATAATAAACGTGGAAGATTGGCCTTATAATAACAGGAAGCGTATGTAGCACAGAGACTGTGAACACTACAATACGTTTAATTTATCAAGAGGATTAAAACCTCTGGCCTGGAAGGCAAACAGCAACTGCGTAACTTCTAAGGTAAGCGGCCTGCGTTGACTCACTGCTTCCTCTCCTTCGCTTGGCAAAAAGGCCACACTTAAATACTTGGCGTTCGCCAGACAAACTTTGCATAAAAACCTTCACGCTTATAATTCTGGCCGGAAGTAGAAAATAAGAAGTGATAGTAAAGATTTAAAATAAAATAAACGTTAGTAAAACTTAAGATCCTTACATACTTCCCGCCAGAGTTAATTAGTTTGAAACTGAGGTCTAAAACGACCTTGTTGAAAACTTTTAGCTCTAGAATCTAACGCGAGGCCAATCTTTTACAAACATAACTTCGCTAGAAACTAGAAATTTAAAAGAAAGAAATTTGTTACAATAGCAGCTCCCAGGATATACAACAATCTTTTTTTCATCTGTACTGCATCTAAACAGGAGCTTTTATTCAATTCTGGTTCCTTCCAGAGATCTGGAAGGAAAACTAGTTTAATGAAATGTTACACAATGACATGGCAAGTAACATATACAATTATACTGCTCTTTAACATTCTTATTTCATTCATGACTATTTTAATTATCTCTCCCCGTGCTCTCTGACATGTTTTGTAAAAGAACACCAAACACGAATGTGTTTCTGTCTACGTGTGCCACACTTCCTCTTACAATCAAAACACTAACGTCTTAAAATTCAACATAACGAGACCTCTTAACACACCCTAATTTCAACTCTAACCCTGAGGTACTATTCTAAAAGTGGCTAACTCTAAAGTGTAGCGTCAGAGAGCCTAACTACATCATTCAACCTTTAACACATATTCGCCATGATTTAGTCTTTACAGTCACACGAATAACAAATTTTTAACATTACTTTCACTTTTACCATATCACGGTATTTCTTAACATTTAAAATAACAGTTCACATGTATATAAGCACATATCAACATGCCGTTAATTTTACACATTTGAAAACATACATTAGTAGTACATTGTTAACTTCTATTCTTTTCAAAGCAAGTGCCAATTCTTTCTACATTGAAATAATACTACATTTCAAAAAGTCTTTCAGACTAAAACTTCTTTCTTGCTAGAATGTTTTAAATAAAATTTATACAATAACTTTTTAAAATATTTAAGTCTTTACACAACGCTATTATACATCAACTTTAGTTTTACGCGCGAGTAATTGAAGAACATAATACGAAAATCGGTCACAACTCATTTCTCGCCCTTTTGGCGATAAAGCTAGACCTCGCATGAGGTAAAACTTCTTGAAATCTGCCACTTGCAGTAAGAATGTGTGTATGTGTGTATTTAATTATGGCAAAGCACGCTAGGGCTATCTGCCTGAGGGGAGGGATGCCTTTCGTGGAGGACTTTCTAAGGGAAACTGGCTCGTATACACGTTACACATGGGGAAAACCACGAAAACGTCCATGCAGCCAGCCCGTTCGCGGGATTCGAACATCGGACCGAACTACCAGTGTTCAGCGTCTTTACCGCTCGGCCGCTGGTGGGCTGCAGTAAGAATGAAAGATTAACTTAAGTTTGCAAAGTAACATAAAATTTTACTTATCTTTGTAATATTCGGACATCCTTTTCTGGGCCCAGTCTTTAAAGGTACTGCAGATAGTAGCTTGATTTATCCTCCTTCTTGTACGGGCTCGCCCTTCAGTGCTTTCCTCTGGAAGCTTCCTTTTTTCACCAGTACGGCCACCCTTGAATACTTTCCTTTTCTCCTCTGCTTGTGGTCTTTGCCGTTTGATGGCAGCTGGTCTTGGCGGAACCGGGACACTTCTTTCTCGTTCCTGCTTGGACATCGTTGCTGGCCGTTTAAATTTTCCTTGTACTTTTTCCTCCGCCGCTGATGGCCCTTCCGCAGTTCGGCGACTTTTGCTGCGGAGAGTTCTGTCGGATGAGTAGATCTTCCGTTTTAAAGCCGGGTTATAGTTGCCGTCATTTCTCCTGGTCCTCTTCACATACGTCGTCCTTCTCCCTTCTTCATTCTGGGGGTGTTCGTGAACTCTGTTTTCTGGACGGTGGAACGGCTTCTTTTTCTTGTTACCTTCAATTTTTCCGCGGGGGCAATTTTCTTTTCACTTGCTTCTGTCTCTCATTGGCTTGCCCTTGTACTTGTCGTTTTTCCACCTCTGGAACTTGTACCTGCGGTGTCTGCCGTGCCGGATCCTGCAAAAGATCTGAAAAGATTTGCATTTTATTACGATCGAAGTAGGGCTTGATTTGATCAATGTTTGCGGAACAGGTTTCACCATTTCTGGCTTTTAACACTACAACAGCGTGAGTTATTTTTTCTATAACATATGGTCCTTCAAATCGTGAAAAAAATTTGGCAGTTTTATCTTCTGGTGCTGAAGAAAGTGAATGCTTCATTTTTAAAACTTCATCCCCTACTTTATAAGTTACTCCCCGTCGTTTCAAATCATAATATAGCTTCTGTTTTCTTTGTGCTACTTCCGTATTCTTTTTTGCTTCCTTTATTAGTTTTTCTATATCACCCATTTTAAATTCTGGGGCTCTTTGTTGCACATAAAATAATTTATCTAACGGTGTTATAATCTTTCTGCCTAGAAATAACTCAGCAGGAGTTTTGCCCGTTGTATCATGTTTTGCGGTCCTAAGGGCGAAAGCAAATTCATTGACATAGTTATCCCAGCTTTTATGAAAATTTTTAACATAACTACGGATAATTTTCACTATATTTCTATTGACCCGTTCCGCTATATTTGATTGCGGCCGATACGGGACCATTTTTAAATGACGTATGCCCAGTTTTTGGCACATGTCTTCAAATATATTACTTACAAATTGAGGACCATTATCCGATATAACTTTTAGGGGCGCCCCGTATTTTAAAATATATTTATTTAAAATAGAATCAGTAACTAATTTCGCGGAGGCTCGTTTTAAGGGAACAATTTCGGTCCATTTACTAAAATGATCAACCATAACAAGGAGATAGCGACTTTTATTTAACTGACTTTTTGGGAAAGGGCCCAATAAATCGATGCCAATTATTTCATTTGGAAATTCGGATTTAATACTATTTAGAAACCCGGCCGGGCGGAAATTAATATAATTAACTGCTTGACATGTTGGGCAGGACTGGACATACGCCCTTGTTAACTTTTGCAGTTCAGGAAAGTAGACTGCCTCGCGTACGCGTTGGATAGTTTTTCGAATACCAGCATGAGAAGCTAAAGGGCTGTCATGGAGCTCCTGCAGGATATTTAATCTAAGACTAGCTGGGATAACAGGTCGAAATTCGTTGTTGGAATTCGTAGTTTTTGTATAAAATAATAGACCATCTATTAGTTCGTAATGGGCCGCCCTATTTCTTATCGCCACAATATCTTGGTGGCTAAAATTTTCAGGATCCTTCAAATACTCATAAATACTTCCAAACTCAGGATCCTTACCCAGTTCGGTTATTACAGTTTCTCGGGAATTTATTGTACACGCTGTAAGCATTGCCATCTTTACGGTATTGCCTTGTTCGTCTATTTTAATCCTTGATAGGGCATCTGCTACGATATTTTCCTTTCCAGGGGTATGCTTGATTACCAGATTATATTCTTGCAGCTTGAGTGCCCATCTTATTAACCTTGGGGATAAATTTTTCCCTGAGTACAATCTAGTTACCGCCGCATGATCAGAGTATACTGTTATCGGCGCCTTTCCAAAATAGACTCGGAACTTTTGCACTGCTAACAGAACTGCAAGTGCCTCTCTCTCGGTCGCGGAATAGTTTCTTTGTGTTTGATTTAAAGTTCGGCTAAAAAATGCCACGGGCTGCTGATTTTGCGAAAGTACCGCTCCTACCGCATAATCCGAAGCATCCGCTGAAATTTCTAAATTTTCATCCTTTTCAGGAAATTTCAACACAGGGGCTTGCGTTAATGCTTGTTTTAATTTTTCGAAAGCACTATTGGCTTCGGCCGTCCACGAGAATCTTGCCTTTTTCCTTTTTAATTTTAACAATGGCTCAGCGATAGCCGCAAAATCTTTTATAAAGGACCTATAATATGAACAAAGTCCTAGAAAAGAAGAGAGCTTCTTTGCCGTGTTTGGAGTCGGATACTTTTGTACAGCGATTATTTTTGATTCATCTGTCTCGATCCCTTTTTGAGATATTTTGTAACCTAAATATTTTAATTCAGGGGCTGCAAATTTGCACTTTTCGACATTAACTTTTAGACCGGCCTCATTTAATAAAGAAAGAAAACACCTGTCTTAAATCCTGTACATGTTGGTCGAGATTATCACTAGTAATAATGATATCGTCTAAATAGATAAATGTGGACTTTCCAAGAACAGGTCTTAACACAATGTCCATGCATCGCTGAAATGTTGCCGGGGCCCCTGAAAGGCCAAACGGCATACGCAAAAATGCATAAGTGCCAGACTTGGTTATAAAAGCAGTCTTAGGCACGTCCTCAGGCCTCACCCCTATTTGAAAATAACCAGTCGTTAAGTCTAAAGTCGTCATAAATTTGGTTGATTTTATGTTCCTTAAAATTTCTTCTATGATCGGTAACGGATATACCGGATATTTCGTTATGGAATTTAATTTACGGTAATCAATAGCGAATCTCCACCTTTTTGGATGCTCCAAAGGATAATCATTATTTTTCTTACATAAAACCACCGGGCTAGCATAACTACTTGAGATGGGCGTTATGATCTTTTTACGTAGCATATCGGTAATATGCCATTCTATAATTTTTTCCTTATTCTTATCATACCGGTATGGTTTTTTGGACGAACTGGCAATGCATCTCCGGTGTCAATACTATGGTTAGTAACCTGAGTAAATCCTGGAATATCACTAAATAACGAAGCAAATTCACTTACCACTTGTCGGATTCTATCTTGCTCGTCATTAGGCAGGTGGTCAAGATTTAACCTTGGCGGTTCAGCCTTTTCTACACGCACTGGTTTCATTGTCAGCTTAAGGGAAGGGACGCTTCATTAAAATCCAGTAGTGTAGCTTGTGCGTCTGAAAGAAAATCTATTCCTAAGATTAAATGTGCTTGCAGATTCTTTACTATAAAAAACATCACCTTTACATTTGTTCGTCCTTGATACGGATATACAAAGGTACTTTACCTACGCACTTACATTTTTCTCCTTGCGCCGCTAATACTGTCGTATTATCCGCATTATATATGCGGTATTTGCGAAAATACTTTCCTAAAAAAACTCTTCTGCCACACAGGAACACTGCGCGCCGGTATCCAGGAGTGCGGTGGCCGGGATATTATTCACCAAGACTTCAATCTTCGGAAGAGTCAAATTTTTCACCATTACTGTATTTAACTTGTAGGAAGAGGGGTTTTCGTGGCCTTCGGATTTCCGCACCCTCTCGTCAGCAGAAATCCGTTTTAGTTTAAATTATTTTTCCTTTCCGTGCTTTCCTTCTTTTTCCCACTGGCCTTGAGACTTTTTTCCTGGGTTGCTATTGAACTGTCGACGTTCGCCGGCTGTTTTTGAATGCTCGGGTTTCCTTGCCCACTGATTCGCTTTTTCTCCGTAGCCATGTGCTTGAGTTTGCTGTAGTCTTGGCGTACCAAATTGGTTTCGCTGTTGATATTGGCGTCTTCTTTCGACGTCCGCCGTTCTTCTACTTTCAAACTGGATTGCTAGCTCAAATAACTTTTCCAGTGTAGTCGGATTTCTTAATTCAATAAAGTCTTGCACTTGGGGCAGTAGTAACCTCGGCAAAATCACTTGAATTATTTCAGGATCCGGACGGTTTCCATACAAGAGCTTGAAAACGTGAATTTTTCTTAAAATAAAGCTCGAGAGGTTTTCGATTCTTTGTTGATATATACTGAAAAGTTCCGTTTCTAATTTCGCACGATCCCTTACAACAGGGAAGGCTTTTAGTAGGGCAGTCTTGAAATTTTCGTAAGTATAGGTGGGACTTCCTGCTTGACCCAAGAGACTTCTGCCTATACATTTGAACCAGTTAAGCGCTTGGCCCCTCAAAGCGCTGGTAGCTAAGGTAACTTTTTGAAACTCGTGCACGGGGTAGAGCATGAAGTGGTCATCCAATTTTTCCAAAAAACTGGTTACCGGTGAGTTTCCATTAAACGTTGCTTCTGGTTTCATCGAAGCGCGCATGGTCTGGACGATGTAACCGAATCCTTCCAGGGCGGCAGCTGGCATTTCTGGATTCTGAGCCGTTTCCGCAGGCAGCACAGGTTCTTCTTGAAACTCGGCCATGGTTATTCTTCTTCGTTGGGCGCCACTATCAGGGTCAATGTTCCTTCTAACCTTCTTCGGGAACATACAAGGACCTGACTCGGAACAGAGAGCTTACTAAAGCTATGTTCACTAATTGTGGTAAGTAGACAGGATACAGACGAAGGGTATACAAAACCCTTTATTTTTCTTTATATACAATAACTTCCGTACTTCGGAATACAATGACCCGCCACTCGGGGTCTAACGTAAAAGTATAAAAATAAAACTAAACTCTAATTTAACTTTAGAATAATAAACGTGGAAGATTGGCCTTATAATAACAGGAAGCGTATGTAGTACAGAGACTGTGAACACTACAATACGTTTAAGTTTATCAAGAGGATTAAAACCTCTGGCCTGGAAGGCAAACAGCAACTGCGTAACTTCTAAGGTAAGCGGCCTGCGTTGACTCACTGCTTCCTCTCCTTCGCTTGGCAAAGAGGCCACACTTAAATACTTGGCGTTCGCCAGACAAACTTTGCATAAAAACCTTCACGCTTATAATTCTGGCCGGAAGTAGAAAATAAGAAGTGATAGTAAAGATTTAAAATAAAATAAACGTTAGTAAAACTTAAGATCCTTACAACTAAACTAAGAAAACCTATGTCATAAATATGTTGGATTTACTGTTCATTTTTATATCGTTATAAGAACAATCTATCCCACTAATTATGGTTAAGAAGTAGTACGTAGTAAAAGTACACCATTCTAATTTCAAGTTGTGCAAAAACTGCAACTTTAGTTTGACACAGCCTTTGAATAAAACTCCATCGATTTCGAGAATGATTTTGCTCCTGAAAAGTTATTCATTATTCTTTCTTAGTTAATCATTAAATAACAATTTACAGCTGAAAATAGAGTTTAATACCATTCTATTTTATTTAATCGTAGCCATAACTCTGTTACGTAAACAAAAAACAATTTAATACACGCACAAATTGACCCCATCACTGGTGCTACAAATCACAGTGCAAAATCACCAAACAAATAAAAATACCATCGTCACCTGGAAGATGTCATGATCAAAATGCAAATCAATCTTTGTTTATTTGAAAATTGCGAACTAAGTAAAAGCATGTTTCATTTAACTATGTAACTATTGTACTTCATAACTCAGCAAAATTCAGAATTTTAGAATTAGAGCATATTTTTAAAAACAAAAATTAAAAATAATTTATATCCGAAAGACAATTCAGTTTAGTTCTTATCCGAAAGACTATTCAGTTATGATTAACTATTTCAGTTTCATGTTGCTGTTTTCCCTCCCCCCCCCCAACTTTCATCCACAAAGGAAAAAAAAAAAAAAGATTTAAATCTGGTAATAAAAGAAATCGGATAATTCGATTTACAACATATTTAATATAATTTGCATTCTGACAGAAAACTTTCAATTTTTATTCCAGCTAAGTCAAGATTGGAGATGGAACTTTTGCGTCAGCGAATAGGCCTTCGATCTGGGAACTTGTCACCTCTGCTTCGGAGAAAAAGTACTCCTTTCCAACTGAACAGGGCGTTTGGTTCGACACTGGGAGCACTGGGAAGACCTTCCCTTGACAGTATGGACTGCCCCTTTCATTTCGACACTAGGAGACGCGGAAGATTTTGCTGATGAAGAATAACGGCTTCAAGCAAGCAATAGAAATGGATTTTGGGGGGAAAATCTGCAAATACGTAGCTACTGATACCATAGGCGAAATTTAGCATTAAACTGATTTTATTATGATTGTGAGAATCTCTTTAAAAAGATGTCATATAAAAGAGAAGTGATACTGGTAACGCATGTACTTAATAGATACCTTATAGATATATAGATTCGGAAAACTTTTCTAGCGAAACGACATTAACTTTTCATTTTAGAATTCTAGAAATTATTTCTAGGTACGATATACGTATACCTACGTCTCCACTATTCAAGAACCAGGAAAGGGAAGTGAGCATACGAATTTCGCATTCGAGTAATCCTCCCGATTGATGACTGGCAATAGGAAAACTCAGCGGTCCAATGAGTTTTTCCGCACAGCGCCGATTGACTCGAAATGTTCAAAGGTCTGATAAGAATTTTATATGTAAAAGGCACCTATGCCTATATATGTTATGTGAAAGTATATGGTTACTATCTAAATTTCCAAAGTTCTATATTTAATGCAAACAGCATGAATTTTTTTATCACATGAAAAATTCGCATATTTTGAGAAATATCTGAAAGCTTTAAGCGATTTTCAGTGACTATGTATGAAGCTTCTAAACGCAAAAATCTGAGTTTAATAGTTTATTTTGCATTCATGTGTGTGTCTATGTTGGGCAGAGGAGGAATTAGCATGAGGAACATTAGGGCTTCACCATATGGTGATATAAGGTACATTGCCCACGACGCTACTGATTCATTGCGGCCCCGTGCTGCCTTTCCATGAAATTCTCATACAGTTATAATTTTGATGGCTGCGTGCACTAAGATGAAGACTTGTTTCTTAAAATTTATTGCTTACATAGATATTGGCTTTGTTCCGAAGGGTATTTGATAATGCTGTTGATTTAAAATATCTTCGAAACTCAAGTTCGTACATAGTTTATCTAATACTGAGTGTTTATATTCATGGATGTAAGAGTGCTCTGGTGTGCCCCTTTCACGGCGTTGTCTGAGGAAGAGATATTTTCCCCGTAAAGGGTTCGGTCAACAATCAGATTAAATAAAGTAGAAAGTTCTCGCGTAGTGTTGTATGAGATGAGCATTTCAGACAGTAATTGAAGGTATTTTACATATTAATCCTTTGTTGGCACAATATAATGACAGCCAACGTTGCACTATTGGCGATACACAACACATCTTAGCTACACTAGAAAACATTAACTGAAATTGCAACAGTTATAACGCATCACTGCCATCTATCGGCTAGAGTTCGCAACAAGTGCGGAAGGGCCATGTCTAGATATGAATTGACTCAAATGGAGGCTAGCTAGACATGTTCCTGTTCATTATTTTAATTTATATATTCTTCTATCTTGAGGTACAGAGTTCCATTCGTTCTGACGAATTTATTTTTTATTGCTTCATTTTTACACATGACTCTGGCCATTTTACGTTCATAATAATGCCAATAATGTTAAGCCAATAATGATAAAGCCAGATATTTAATTTGTGCACTTTTGGAAAGTTTTGCAAAGTGAAACAGAATTCTGTGGCCGTAATAATAACGCTGAATTTTTAAAAGATTTCCCCAAATCTGAGGAGACAGAGATAACTAGGTATAGATGGTGTATACACAATTTTAGAGCGATTGCGGGGCCGTTCGTTTAATGTTTTAATTTAAAGAATATTTATATTAAATGTTTGATCTGATAGTTTTTTTCTTTCCTGTACATCTAGTCTGCATCGTGATTTCCATGACTTCATAAAATTTCCAGGTTCATTAATTTCCATTTGTTTGGGACTCATTCCAAATAACACAAACTATAATAAGTTCGCTGGTTCGGTTCTTTATTAATTCTCATAATTAAATGACAATCACGTATTATTAACTCATAGCTGTTGCCAGCCGTCGTACACCATCGATGACAATTCTCAAACTCGTCTGATCATAACATTATAGATGCGCATGCGCGGATTACATTACAGGTGCGCAGGTGCGAACATGCCGCCCCGCGTTGCAATGCGTAGCATTCAACTATTGTAATTAAGATATAGTATAAAGAAATTTAAACAAGTATATTATAAACAATTTTGAATAAGTACTATTACATAAAATCAATAAAATCATTATTATAATTAGACATTTACCATATACATCAGCGTATAACACAAAACAATGCAATATAACATTTCAGTTACATAATGACATTTTATGTGAAGCACATTCAATACTACACAATAACGATAAAGACAATACCCATTTTTGTATTGGCAAGACACATAATTTGGAAATTGGTCGTTTGAAAGTTCCAGTTTGAGTTTTTAAATTGCACACGCGAACCTTTCCATCTTTACCATAAAATACTTCTATTATACGACCAACTGCCCAATTACAACAAGGCAAATTATTTTTAATTAAGACCATGTCTCCAACTTGTATATTGTTTTTAGAGCTTTGCCATTTAGATCGATTTTGTAAATGACTTGAATAATTGGAGTTCCATTTTTTCCAGATAATTTGTACTAATTTTGTGATCTGTTGCCACAATTTTAACCTGTTAATGTTAACTTCCGTGATACCTGGCTTAGGAATCGAATTAATTGCTCTACCAATTAAATAGTACCCAGGTGTTAGAACATCTAAATCATCAATGTCCAAAGACAAGGGTGCCAATGGTCGGGAATTTAAAATTCCTTTACCTATGACACGTTTGAAGTGGCACTTAAAAGATTTAACTTAGCCTCCCAGAGGCCTCCAAAATTGGGTGCTCTGGGAGAGAGAAATTCCCATTCGATATTCTCAGAGCTCAAATAACCATCTAAACGCTCATCTTGTTCGTTCACTAGTTTATTTAACCTCTTTAATTCTGCATTTGCACCTACAAAATTAGTAGCGTTATCACTAAATAGTGTTGAACTTTTACCTCTTCGTGCAAAGAAACGTTTCAAGGTAGCTATTAATGCTTCAGATTTTAGGTCTGTTATCATTTCTAAATGAATGGCCTTAGTAACCACACAAATGAATACACACATAAACTTTCTGGTATATACCTTTTCTCTGGTTTTTGTACTTAATTAAGAATGGGCCACAGAGGTCAACTCCAGTACAATTAAATGTAAAATTAGCAGCTGTAATTCCTTCCTTGGGTAAGTCACCCATGATTTGCTGAGTTACAATGAGATTAGCTTTAAAACATGTTATACAAATTTTCTACAAACATTTCTACCATTTACAATCCAAAATTTTTGTCTTATATGATATAACAAAGATTGAGTACCCACATGCAAATATTTTAAATGATAGTAATTAACTATTAACTCTGTTAATTTATGTTTAGAAGGCAAAATAATACGAAATTTTTTCTCGTAAGTTAAATTGCTAATTCGTAATCTACCTCCAACTCTCGACAGTCCATTACTGTCAATAAAAGGGTTAATGATTTTTAATAGAACTATCTCTTGGAACTGTGACGTCGTGGATGCTTCAGTGGGAACGGAATCAACACTAGCAATGGTGATGCATCCCTTTTTATTCACACAACATATCACAGATACAACATTTAATTAATACATTTAGAAAACTATAGTAGATATCCGAGCTGGTGACACGATCAGAGACGTTAACGAAGATGGCACTCGTCATCACTCGATGAACAAAGTCTCCACACCTCAGCTCGCTGGCGGAGCTTCCCAGCGCTCCCTCTCACAGGCGTCTGACCAGCAGTCTCTTCTCTTTACGCATGCGTATTACTCAGTTAAGTCGTTGCCATTCACAGTTCTTTAAAATAGGTGTTAAAATGAATTAAAAGTCCTCGTAGTGTGAGGAGTCCGCTAACGAAGTTCTCTCTAGTCGAGAGCATCATAGGTCTTTCTAGTAGAGAGTTCAGGAGCGTTCTTTACAGACTAACTCCTTCCGCCTCCAGATTTTGTTTTCCTCGGACACAGAGGAAACAAAACTTTTTTTTTAAAGTTCCTACGGAATAAAATACAAGTTCAGGCAGGCGTTCGCTACAAACAAACACCTTCCGCCTCCAGTTTTTGTTTCTCCCGACACAGGAGAAGTAAACCTTCACAGTTCACAGTCAGTTTCTGGTTTCAATAGAGACTGTTCAACATTTTACCAATTAATTTTAAACCACACTGTTACAAAGGCTCTCCACTCTCATAACCAGGCCATCATAAAAAAATACATATACAATATATGAAAAACCAACACAGACATTTTGTCTTTATGAATAAAGCTCAATTTACCAATTACTATATAGTAACATAGTACTTTCCTGAGGATCTAACCATTTCTCATACAATAATGCGACAGGTGTTCTGAGGTTGGTCCCGTACACTAATTCAGCTGGACTAAATCCTGTACTATCATGCGTTACTGTCCGCAGGAGCAAAGAGAGCGGCAGGTAACTTGTACTTCCCAATTTGGGGCAGCTTCAATACATAATACCTTTAAGACCCTTTTTATTGACCTATGGAACCGTTCCACAGGATTGCTCTGGGGGTGGGGTGGTAAACCGAACTTCTGGAAATTTTTATACCAAACCTCTTCAAAAATTCAACGGTTAAGCGACTCATAAAAGATTTTCCCTTGATCAGTTTGAACCTCCCTTGGAAAAGCCCATCCGACTAAATACCTGCAAGAGTGCTCTTACAACATATTTCGACGTTATATCCGGTACCGGGACGGCGTCAGGATATTTAGATGCTAAGCACATAACTGTAATAAGATATTTATTACCTTCAGTAGATGTAGGCATAGGCCCGCAAGCATCTACATTAACCTTACTAAAGATTTCAAATATCACAGGTACTATTACCAACGGTGCTTTTCCTACACGTTGACAGGAGTCGCATGTTTTAACGAATTCCTCAATGTCTTTATAACAATTTGGCCTGAAAAAATGTCTTAGTAACCGGTCTTTTGTTTTCAGAACTCCTAAGTGACCTGAAGTTCCTTCATGACAAATTGCTTTAATTTGCTCTCTGAGGTTTTCTGGAACAACAATTAAATGTTCTTCTCCTCCTAACTTATTTACCTTCTTTTTTACTAAAACCCCATTTTTAATCCCATAACTTGTTTTACTTCCGCTTTTTACTAGTTCTAATAAAGGGGCAAGTTCTTTACTTTTTTGTTGTTCATCAATAAAAGTACTTGA